TTCTCATCTTTTTTCTTCCAAAATCCACTCCTGGTAAATTCCGTCCAATTTCCTTAGCCTCCTGTTTGTTTAAAGTCACTGAAAAAATTATATACAATAGATTAAATTGGTTTGTTGAACGCAACAAGATCCTCAGTCCATTTCAATACGGTTTTAGAAAAGGTAAATCTTGTACAGATAACCTTGCATTGGTTTCAACAGAAAATATGGACCGGTCTTGCCGAGCGTGAATTTACAGGCGCGCTCTTCCTTGACCTTAAAGGTGCTTTCCCAAGCGTAATCCCTACTATCCTAGTGAAAGATCTCCGATCTATAGGTATCCCTGAGTCTATATCCCACTTTATTTACAACTCAATAAAATGTAAAAATATGCTTGTAAAAATTAACGGTGAAATTATTGGCCATAAAATTAGCACTGTTGGACTACCTCAAGGTAGCATTCTTAGCCCCATTAATTACGCTATCTACACTAGGAACCTTTATACTTGTATTCCTGCAGATTGTATAATCTCTGAATTCGCGGATGACCTGACGGTTACTTGTCGCTCCCCCAACATCAACCAAATAATAACTTCTCTCCAAGACAGTCTTAATTCACTCTCCACTTACTTATCGGATAGAGGCCTGGAAGTCTGTCCGGAAAAAACAAAATTAGTTATTTTTAGTAACAAAAAACTTGATCTAGATGACCCTACTCTTACCTTATCATTAAATAATGTATTAATTAAACCCTCCCCTTCAGCTATGTATCTTTGTATTAATTTTCATCAATCCGGTTCATCCGACTGCCATTTTAATTATTTATGTGATAAAAGTAGAAAAATTTTAAATGTTTTAAGAGTTCTTAGAGGCACGTGGTGGGGGGCAGACCCTAAACTACTGCTTCAAATATTTGACTCCTTAATTAGAAGCGGTTATGATTATGGATTCACTGCTACAAACTTTAAGTCCCATAAGAATCTTTCCCGCCTTGAAAAAATTCGAAACCAAGCTCTTCGACTAGCCGTTGGCTACAGGAAGAGCACTCCTAACAATGTAATGTTAGCAGAATGCTTTAAACCCCCCATAAGAACAAGATATAATTTTCTCGCAAAAAAGTACTTATATAGAATCTCTTCTATCCATAATCACCCCTTACCGGACAGGCTTGCTGCCCAATTTAACTATCCCCTTTTAATTGCCTATGAGCGAAATCAAAGTTATACAGCGAATTAATCAGAACTAAGGATCTTGATCCTTATTTCGAATTCCTCTTTGAGGATCATATTTTCACTCCCCAAATCTATCTTGATTTGGGTAAATCACTCCAAGGGTCCCAAAACCCTTCAGCTTCATTTAAAGAACTAACTAATATGAACTTTCCTACTCATACCTTCTTTTACACTGACGGCTCGAAGTCAGACAAGGACAACTTGGCAGGTTGCGCTTTCGTTTGTCCCAGTCTAAATATAACTTCTAAATTCAAGATTTCTAAATTTGCCACTATCTTTTCTCTTGAAGCATTGGCTATTTTATTTACACTTGATTATATAATTAATTCTAATCTCACTAATACAGTAATCTTCTCAGACTCACTTAGCGTTCTCAAAAACTTAAACTCTAAGAATATTTATAATATAAAATGCTACATAATTCTCGCAATTAGAAACCGCCTAAGGGTCTTTTCTGACTTGAAACGCCCGACAGTGTTAGTCTGGATCCCTGGTCACTTGGGTATCGGTGGCAATGAAGCAGCTGACAAAGCGGCAAAAGAAGCATCAACAAATCTCGCACAATTAAATATTCAGCTTCCCTTTTCGGATTTCTATAGTCTTGCGCGCAAACAACTCGACGAAAGTTGTAACTCTTATTTTATTGATGTAGGTAAAAATAAAGGTATTCATTACACACAACTTTTTTACAGACCTAGAAGAAAACCGTGGTTTTCTAATTTTGTAGCTCGCAGATCATGGATCGTAACATTGTGTCGCGTACGTTCGAATCACTATAACTTAGCCGCTAGTCTGTTTAGGAAAAATTATATATCTTCGAGTAATTGTTCCTGCAGTGCGGGTGTAGAAGAAGACTTGGATCACATCCTTTGGGCTTGCCCAAGATTTGATGCAATTCGTCCGAACCTTTTGAAGGCACTCTCGAGAGCTTTAAAGTGTCCTCCACCTTTCTGCAGCATCCAATACCTCACTAATCCCTCCCCTAGAATAACCTCTCACATTTTCAGATTTTTAAAACGAGCCAACATTCAAATTTAATTTCAATTATACAATTTCTATACATTTCTCATCATTATTCAAATCTCGCGCGCTCTCTCTCTCTTTCTAACTCATTGTCGGTACGCCTTTGTCCGATTTAGAATCACTTTTAATTTGCACCGGGGGTTGCAACCAGAAAGGTGCTTATATACCTCAAATTTCGATCAGATGAACATTATTTCTGGACCGTGAAAATGCGTGAAAAGTCATTTTCACGGCGGGTATTTTTGAATTGTTTTAAACAAAAAATGTTTTTTTAAGAAATATAATATTAAATAATTGTTTTAATATGTAAGAACACTTTAAAATAGTGATAGAGAGATGATTTGATTAAAAAATTTAGCAAATTTTGCTTTAAAACGTTTTCTGCTACAAGAAAGTGTAAAATGACGATGTTTGTGAAATGGTTTGTACAGTGTACATGTGTACATGTTTCTTTCAGTTATTCGAAACAATTAGTAGAATTTAAATTTATTTGATAAACATTTCAACTTACCGATTTATTTTCAGCACTCATTATTTATTACAAGTTAAAAAGAAACGACATAACATAAACAAAACTCTGAGAGACACTCACAAGGAAGAAGCACTGTACAAACCTTTTCACAAACATCGTCATTTTACACTTTCTTGTAGCAGAAAACGTTTTAAAGCAAAATTTGCTAAATTTTTTAATCAAATCATCTCTCTATCACTATTTTAAAGTGTTCTTACATATTAAAACAATTATTTAATATTATATTTCTTAAAAAAACATTTTTTGTTTAAAACAATTCAAAAATACCCGCCATGAAAATTACTTTTCACGCATTTTCACGGTCCAGAAATAATGTTCATCTGATCGAAATTTGAGGTATATAAGCACCTTAAATGCCAACGTCAATCTATACTACTACTACTACTACTACTACTGTTTCTACCAAGAAGACTAGGTTTCTTATATTCCCTTGATTTTTTTGTCCGTGTGATTAGAGATAATATGTACACAAGATTTTGTGACATACACACACACACATATATACATGTGGACATTTGTTTAAAACATTCTAGACAAAAATAAGCCCATATAACCCATTTTTAAAAAATCGAAAATTGTCACGAATACAAAGCTTCCTCGAGAGGAGAGGAAGCAAAATTGACTGAATTTCATCAATTTGATAGCCAAAGATCAGTACTGGCTACCTGTATATATAAGAGGCCATTAAAACAAAAAGAAGAAGAAAAAGATAGCCAAAATAAAATTTTTTTTGAAATATCTGACATATTTCTTTGAGGAAGCAAAGTATTCATGAAATAACAAAACAAAAGTAAAATCATCAGTACTATAAATTGGCAGCGCGGTTTTTTACTTTTTCTTTCACATGTTGTCCCCTTTTTAAAGTTATACAGTTTTGTTGGAAAAAATTTCAGCTTTCAAATATTAACAAAATTCTTTTTTAAAGGGACATAAGGGGTTAAAATTGAAAAAGAAGAGTTCATTTGAAAAAAAATAAGATTAAACTTTCTTTGGCACTGAAAACTACATAAAAAATGCTTCAAAAATCTTTATTGACAAACTAAAATCCAGAAAGTTTAATAGAAGTTACACGAATTTGAAAATGAGAGTCTCATCTAAAAAGTCAAAACTTGAACTCCTACTTTTTATAATCTTTTTAAAATGAATTTATATTTTAAGGTTTTATTAATTTCATATATATGTACATATGACAACAATTTATAAAAGTATCAAGACAAACCCAGAACTTTTTTTTGTGTTTTTTTTCCAAAGAATGCCTCATAATAATTATATGAAATAATACATTCGATTAATCAAATTGGCATTCGTAAACATATAGGTATAGTTAAACAAAAATTCGTACGTAAATATTATACATATATAATAGAATTTAAATAAAATATAAATAAAATAAGTTAAATATACAAAATTAAAAAAAATGTTTTAAAGACTAGTTTAGTTAAGATAAATAAGATCAATTTATATTCCATTCTACAAGAGAACGAAAGTTTCTTGCGCAACTATATAGATATAGATTGAACTTTTAAATGAAATACATAGGTGATTCCAAATTTTTTTTCCAAAAATATAGCTAATGGTAAATGTGAGAAAACTAGCAATTATATAGTACTATAAAATAATAAATACAAATTAAAAATTTGAAGGACCTTTAAGTACATAGTACATGCTTTGATGATCTCTACAAACGGTCAGAAAGCTTTTTTATGATTATGGACAGTATATTTTGCAAATTGTTCCTTAAATTCATAACCTATTACCAGTTCAGTATTAATGAGCCAAAAGTTTTCAACGTTCAAATGAAAGATATTCTTTTTGCAACTTTTTGTGCGAATTTGATTACAAAATATTGTTTTAAATATCTAAAAAGAAGCTATTAATTTAATAATTGTTTAATTTACCGTTTTATTTTACATTGTCATCAGAATTTTTAATAATTTATATATTAAAAAAAAAAAAATTCGTTCATTTGAACGTTCAGAACTTTTGGCTCACCAGTATTAAAAGGTTTAATAAAAAAATGTTAGGATACGTTTTTTTGTAATCTCTTTATTGTGATTTAATTCATATAATTTTCCTGTCACTTTGTATAACACTATAAAAAATAATTAAGTGAATACATTAAAACAGGGAAAATATAAATTAAATTCGATTGTATTTGCAGCAGCGTTTAAACGGTTTGGGGGGTAATTGAATTAATTTGTTATTTTGTCATAAATCCATACATCTTGAACATATATCTTTTTGTTTTCTTTTTATTTCTTTTAATATCCACAAGACGTAGTACAATGTTTGATTCTGTTCCAATGCTACGTATTTTTACAACTTTAATTTAAATGATAAGTGTGTAAATTTCTAATAACTAATAAATGATCGACAGAATGGTACATTTACCGCTCAATAAAGAAAACTGACTTTTCTCTATGCGAGCGGAAATAGTTATATAACAGTATTGAAAAGTTACAAATGATACATGATATTTATCGTTGGGCGAAGAAAGACAAAACAGATTAAGCATTTTATGTTTTTAAAATGTTTTCTTTTCCACCACACTCCCTGCAGAAATTTTATAATGTCGCCAGTCTAGTCCAGATTGAGGTTAACACTATATCCCAAAATGATCCCAAATCTGTCTCCGATTTGACAATTTCTACATGGGATTTTATTTAATTAATTACATTAAAATAAAGTGAAGTGTAACTTTCTCCTGTTATACATAATTTCAAGAATGAATCAAGCTTTCTGACTATAATGTTGTTTGATTTAAAGACAAGCGACATTTATTTAATTCGTCTAAACTACTTTCTAATACTGAATTAGTAATTTTCTACTAATGAAATTTAGAGAACTCATTTTTCAACTGATTTAGTTGTGAATTTGACTAATTTTGGTTATTTAATAGCCATTCTCAATGAAAAAAAATACTAAACTTTTACCAAAAATTAATAAAAGTGCTAATGACATTAGTTCGTGGAGAACTTTTCTCAAATTCGCTAGTACAAAATTAGTAATTAAGATTTAGAGAGCTTCATCAATAGAAGACAGCGTTTCTTTGCCATTTTATTTAATCTTTTCTAATTTACGTATTGCAACCAATGTACTTCGTATGAATACAGAAATTACAGTTTTAATGCTTTATTATGTGTAATATGCTTCACTTTTTTACTTTCGTCTATTCGCGATCAACGCAGTGACACATTATATTTTTATTTTAAAAAACTTGGTAAAGACCATGTACAAAGCATACTGACTTACGATTTCATTTCAATAATAACAATGAAGCTTTTTTCGAAGTTAAAAAAGAAAATCACTCGTACAAACGATGGATGAACAAATTATTCTTGTTTACTTAATAAAGAATTTAACTTATAATCTACTTTATTCGCTAATTGCGCTGCGCAAATGTCTTTTCATGTATTTTCATTTTTCTATTCAAAAATCTGTGAAATAATTTGCTTTTTCAGTAATGATTGCAGTCACAGTCAACATCGCCATCCTACAATAATTTACATTATCGGATAAATATTCAAAATCCCTCTTTTTTCTAACCTGTCATTTTTCCAAAACCTTGTTTTGCAATCTCTCCGTATAGTAATTAATTATTAAGGCTGCTCGTCCGATAACTCTTAGAGGACTAAACGTGACCAAAAATCATTTTAATTACATATTGTTTTTATATTTAAAAAATCTTTCACAAAACAAAGCAAAAAACATTTTTTATAAATAAATTCGATTAAAAAATTGTTTACGTTCCTCGTTCACGCTCATTTATTTAAAAACCCCTTTTCTTTAAATTAGTTCATTTCAGTCTGATGGACAGGAACAACGCCCGCTTTACATGTTAATTTATTAACCTCTAATATTTTTAATCACAAAAAATTAGAGCTAAAAATATGTAAAGTGAACTTAAAAATTTAACTATGCTCCACACAATAAATTTGAAGTATTAAATTAAGTAAAGATAGCATTTAAATTGAAATTGTCAAGGAAACAAAAAAAAAATATATATATATGTAAATTAAAGTTACAGGGATTTTACTGTAAATTCAAGAACTATACGCATTAAGAGTAATTATCAAATGTACGTAAGAATTAATATAAGAAATTTAAATTGCACAAGATTCCAAATTGGAGTTAAATAAAACTTAGGTGAAGCTCTTAACTTTAGATTAACAATTTTGGTTAACAAGATATTGCTTTTCTCATATCGTTTACGGAAAGAAATGAGGAAAAAATAAGCTATTATTAGACAAAAAATTTAAAACTGTAACTTGGTATGCTTAAACAAAAAGTTCTTTAAAATGAAATTTTACAATAAAAGCACATTGCACGCCGATTATTATTAAAAGAAAAGCAATAGAACATTAGACTTATATTTGAAAGTAAAATATTCTCTACCGAAAAAAAATATATTTTTCTCTCGGATGTTGATGGCATACCAATGAATAAACTGATAAGACTGTCACGTTTTTTCATTTTTCAGTTTTTTCTATTTGCAAACATTTCAGAACACTAATCGATATAATAATCTTCATCGAAAAGCATTCACATCTTGGTCCACTAGCATACGACACACGACATTCTAAGTATCATACACTCGATGGTACTATAAATCTAATAATATAATACTTATAAGTTTGTGACAAGTCTAAAAATTCTATCAGTTGTCACGCAAATCGAATTTGTACTTTAAATTTTTTTTCGCGCATAGATTATAGATATAAGAACTCGATGCTTATATAAAGGACATCAACAATCCCATAAAGCACTACCGTTGCTTTGTGAAGACGTCATTAACAATTTCGACAATGACGCCTGCGAGCATTGTCGTCCATCATTAATGAGCTTCGTGTTTTAAATGTAGAGATCCAGAATCAGCTACTTTAAAAAAGTCATTCTGGATTGGCATTTAAGTGAAAATAATGCCCGGAAAAATATGATTTTTAAGGACTACAATAGCTATTGTTCAGCCCTCCCTTTTCGGACAACAGCCACATTTTGTTCTTGTAGTACACATTGCAACGACGTATATTTCATTTTAGCTCTATAAAGAAGTGAGCTAATTTTCTTCCCGACATTCAAAACCCATAAATAAATTAACTAAATAATTAATTTTATAATTGCAGTTTGAGAATTCTTCGTTTCTTAACTCGCGTGGAAATTGAATGTCACAAGATCGTTCAATATCACAGTCGTGTTTTTTGTTTTTTTGTATTTTTTTGTATTTTTTTTTAAAGTACTTTAACGTTATGTATATAACTGATCAATATTATAATGCACACATACATATATATTACTGATCAATGATTATAAAATATCATACAAATATGCATTGGTGCTTGACCGGTTTAAGGGCTCGAATTGTTTATTAAGAGTTCAAAATCACCGACTGAGTGCATTATATATTTTTTTTGTTCTACTCCTTCTGTAACTGCAACCTTGTGTAATTTTTTTATTACCCATTCTTTCAGTAATTTTAAAATTTTGTCTATTCTACATGCATCACTGTTGTAAATATTATTAGTAACGTTCATATTATTCTTGAAAAACGACAATTTCAGTGTTTAGAGCTTGAAAATCATCAGGACACTTTACATCTTTTATTGTTATAAAATGGCCCTTTTTCAAAAAAGGGTATAATAAATTAGAAAAGTAATTTAAATTTCATTTTACATTGAATTGAAGATTTTGATATATTTGGTTGGTTATATTGCCGCGTGGTCACTTCATATGAAGTTACCATCGCAACTTATAATGAGCATAATATCTGTAAACGCCAAAATAACAACGTACCATTCGTCGTTGAATAATAATTTTAAGAAAAAGATTAACATAAATTATTAATGTTTATGCGATATTAGTTTGCGTATTTTTAATTCAGCTGACATTTGTCCGTACTTAAAGTTAAATTTTGTTATTTTAAATTACTCTCAAATGAAATCATAGTGTCTTTAGTCATCTGATTCATAAAAAAATGCTTACCAATATCGCTAAATATTACATAGTGAAGTCATAACGAGCCTAAATGTCCCGACAGGGGTTCTAGACATATTGCTAAATATTCACCTATTGTGTGTGTGTGTGTGTGTGTGTGTTATTCATGGCCGAAATAGCAGCAACGATCAACCAATTTTTTTCACTCATTATTGATAAATTATAATTTATTCTACATGCATTCAATCGGCACAGTTAATCGCAATATCGAAATTTCGAAACAAGTTCCACAAATTCTTTTTTGGTACTTATTCGATGTTAAGCACATACGAGAAAAGGATCTCTGTTTACGAATTTCAGTAGCGCGAAAATTTTTCAGCATGAGCTTCAAATGAACTTTCATATCAGCCGAAAATTTCAAATGTGTGTATAGCTGTTAAAAATATTTTCTATTAGAAGACATATCGACTACGATCTCCAGCGTAGATTATTATTTTCACTCATGTGTACCGTTGTATGTACTGTTTGTCTTTCTCAAATATAATTAAATTTGCTTGCGAAATAGCAATAATGATAGTAACAGTTGCCGCACGAATTCTGATAAAACTCTTTACTTGTCCCACCAGTCATGAGAATTATTGCTGCCATTGTTACTAGAATTGTTATACGAAGAGTTGTTATAATTACCACCGTAACCTCCTCCATAACCACCTAATAAACAATGAAAAAAAATGTCATTAACATATTTGATTATTAGACAATTGTTTAAATAAATATATCTTAAATTTTAATTTATCTGAATTTTCATTTTACATAATTATTTCACACAATCTTCACTAAATATAATTTCTATTTTCATAAATGTTATCTAACTATAAATAAGTTGCGCAAATAGATAACAAAAATGTCATATTTAAAAACAAAAAATTTTAAGAATTAGGGTAAATTGGGTTATTATGATACATAGGTTTGGTTTGAGAAAATCACATGAGGCGTGCACGATTCGCTCGCATCTATGCAATTTTTATGATAGATTCCCATCAAATTGAGTATTATATCAAATATTTGACTATATTTATGAATATTAAGTTAATATCTTGTAAAATTTAATTATCATAAACTTTTACAATTGCATAATCAAAGATACCGTCAACCGGGGCTTTTCTGGTACATTAGGGGCTATTATGCTACAAGCTAGTTTTTAATTTGTAAAATATTCATTTCGAAATATTAAAATTTAACATCTAGCTGTAATTGTAGAAACTATTGAAATAGAAACTAGTTTCTAAAGGTATTTAGAATTTGCCAGGACCATTACTTTACGAAACTTGCCATTCTTTTGAACCGAGCAATAGATGTGATATGTTTGTAAGATCAAAAGAGTTATATGGAGTAAAGTATACAAATTATATAGAAGTCGGGGGGTCATGTGCAAAAATGAATGGCTAATGGAAAAGTGAAAAAACAAAATAAAGGTCTTGGTGGCAAAGGAAAATAAACTGCAAAACTCATTGATGAATAAACTGCTTATTACGGCCTAGAAATTAGTCGAAACACTGATTGCATTATAAAAATGAAAAATGCAATTTGGTTACATTGTGTACAATATAAGCTATATATACATGGGGTAAAATTCCTGTAGTATATTAAGTGAAAAAAAAGTTGGTCGGATTGGGCTGTAACTTGCACATAGTTTAGCCCTAGGGGTGAGTACTTTAACCACGAAGCATTGTTAGGTTTTTTCAAAAACTGAATTTTTTGAAAAAATTTAAACAGTGAATTTTTGAAGACTTGTAACTTTTAAACAGAAAGATGCAAAAAAAAATTTCAAAAAATTTAAAATTTGACCCTTTTTTTAGAAAATTAAACATTTTTTAGACTTTTCTTTTAAGTTCGGTCTTTTTAGGGTTCCGTGCCCAAAGGGGGAACCCTATTAATGAGACTATTGAAGCAAGGCATATACCCCCCCCCCTAGCGGCCACACGAATTTATCTAGAGGGCTGAAATTTGGTAGACATATGTATTTTGTCGTGTAGATTACAGGAAAAATATAGCAAATCTCATAGGAATTGATTATCATAGCGTTGTCAAGGAAAAACCATGAATTTTTACGAAAAATCCCTAAAAATGACTATGTACCCCCCCCCCCCCCCACTGGTGGCCACATCTTTTCACATAGAGAGCTCAAATTTGGTACACTTATGTATTTTTACGCGAAAATTACAGGAAAAATATAGCAAACATGATTCGGATCGATTTACATAGCGTTGTCAAGGAAAAGTCAAAAATTTTGAAAAAAGCGTTTAATCCTTCTAGCGCACACACTATTTGACCAAGACAGTTCATATTTGGTATACATGCGTATTTTTGCGTATAGATTACAGGAAAAATATAGCGAGCACGATTGGAGTTGATGATCATTGTAATGAACCCTTCTACATTTATTAATTAACAAAAAAGTTCATTGAACTTAGATAAAGTTACTTTAAATTTTTCTCTAAATCATTGCAACACAACCAACTCTGTTGCAATGTTTTAGGAATGGGCCCTTGCTCAGGAAATTCGCTGAATGCGAATGAATAATACTATTTCAACATTCAAGCAAAGGAGTAAATACTAACATTGATATTATATTAAAATCGCAAAAAGTACTATATATACATAGCTATGTATAGTAATCCAATTATTATTATTGTTATTAAATGGGGAAATAAAATATTTGTTATTATATAGAATCAATTGATACTATACACATATATGTGTATATATGTGTATATATCGACTCAATTATTATTATTGTTATTAAAAGGGGAATTAAAATATCTTGTTATTATATAGATTCAAAATGGTAGTATATTCTACGAGTTACTATATTAAATTCAAAAAAAGGGAAGAATGTGAATACCATTATTATTATCAAATGGAATGATTATCAAATTAAATCAAGGACTAATAATTAATTGAGCTCTACGTCTGTGAGATTCACAATATTGCGAAATAATTCGCTGAATAAGAGAATAAAGAAAAAAGGGAAAAACTCACTTACTAAAATCAATTTCAAAATTATGGACATAGGTTAATTTCCATTCCTAATATTCCATAGAAATTTTTCCAAAATTATTATCGCAAAAATTGTAATATTAAATAAAAAAATAAAAAAGGCTGAATTATTTCTACGATTTCAAAACAGAAAAAGGAATGTACCTTTTTCCAAAGAAATTCCAAAAAGGATTTTCCAATAAATATAGAAAAGGGAAAGAACCTAATTATTAAAACGGTCTCTCTTTTCTTTTTAAAAAAAGAGATATATATTCTACAAAAATAAAAGGAGAAATAAGTTCAATGCCTTTAACAAATTGCAAGCTTGCATTTGTTCAATAAGTTGAACGACTTGTTGCGAAACTATAGACCCTTATTGCACCACAATTCCCACCTGTGACAATTAACCAGTGTCCATAAAAACCAAATGAAACACATCAAAAATCGCAGTCTTCTAGTGTTTCAAACAGATTAACGTCGCGAGTCGCGAGTTATTATTTCACGAATTAAAAACTTGTGATCGCGAATATTTGCTTAAACGGGACTGTCCGTCTCGACTTACAATTTGATAAATATAACTAAAGTTTTAATTATTTTCTTTAAAACGGCGAGTAGTAAAGATAAAAATAATAATGGAGTGAATTATTCACAAGCGTAGATTTATTGTTTATTTTCTTGTGTTAAAACCGCGAAAATTAATTAATTAGTTATTAAATTTTTCAATTAGTTCAGGACGTTAAAAACAATTAAAAAAAAAAAAAGAGAACGCATATTATTATTATATTACGGTTGATTGGGAATCATTCCATATAATAATAATGGTGCAATAATTTTAATCTACTTCACCAAGGGTGAAAAACAACAATTTTTATATTCGTCGCCCGCTTCTATCCAAAGATTGGAGAGGTAGGATTAAGGACCTATAATAGAAATAGGTAAGAATTATAATATTTGTATCGTTCCAACCAATGTATAATATCAATTCATTTTTCACTTCATTAAAAGAATTGTTGTGTATCATTCTCATCCTTGAAATAAAGAAAACAGATGTAAAAGAATTGAACAAATTTAATTAATCGTAATTACACCATAACTCGGCTACCTAATTCTTTGTAATTCGATCTTTTAAATTGGCGAGAGATATCTAAGAAAAGGGAATAACGTTCCACATTAAAAAAAACAAGTTTAACTTGGCTATTTGAACCGGAGAGATTTGAATTTTAGGAATAATGACACAAGTAAATTTTTAAAAATCAAAAATTAAATAAATCTAATTTTCAAAACGCAACAATCATATTGTTTTTAAGGAAAATTCATATTTTTAGAAAAAATCATGAATTTTTCGAATAAAAAAAGAAGAAAATTTTTTTCTTAAGGAATTCAAATTTATACATTTTTGCGTATTAATTATGCTGGCATTAAATTCGGCAGTAGAGCATTCAAGAGCCTTAAAAAAGCCCTAAATTTTAACCCATAGTAGACCTTTCTACGAGTGCTCCTTCCTTGTGTGGACAAGCTACCTTAATGTTAAGCTAGCTTGTCTACAAGTTTTTCGAAGTAAATGCCGAGCATTAAATTCGTCATTAGGGCATTAAATTAGCATTAAATTAGCCCTTAATTTTCCAATAGGTTTCATCCAGATCGGACAATGTGGACAAGCTAGATTAATGGACCTTTTATAAGGCCGTATATAAATATATAAATGTACCAAAAAAAGTCACAAGAAATTGAACAATGTCCTGACATTTTAAGTTAATTTTTAAATAAATATCACTTTTTAAAAACTTGTCATTAAACAAAGGTTAGATTCTAATTAGATAAATATTTAAAAACAAAGAACGAATATTTTTTATTCATTTGTGGTTATCGAGAAGTTTAAATATTTAAAGAAAATGGATGGTATTCTATCCTTTCCTTTTACAGGTTTCATAACTTAAAAGTAATAATAAAGATCATATAGCAAATTAATACTTCTGTTTAAAAAGTGTTAGTAAATTTTTTTGAGCTATTACACTTTGAAATTTTTTATCTGTCGTAAAGAATTTTAAATATTGCATTTGCATATTATATGTTAAACGAAAAAAATAAGATGGTAATTATTTAAACTTATCCAATTATTATATATATATATATATATACACTACCGTCGGAAATTGTCGGTACGACTAACGTTCGAGGAGTGGACATTCGGCGCTGACTTTAAAGCAAGATATTTCAAGTTAAAAAAAAGTTAGAGACTTCTAACTTAGATGGTTGGAAAGCTGATAAAATTCTGCTTCTGAATGTATATGAGGTATCCCGTGCAGAAATTTCCCTACTTAGTTCTACTTTAAGTAAAGCTCTATCGTGGCCCTTGCCAGTTTTTCCGCAAGTCTGACATTTCTCAGATTAAACGACAGTTACTTGGTAATGCCATGTTTGCAATATAACCTAGAAAACTACATATCAAGGCAGTGGAAAGGCCCTTGCCAGTTTGTCCACAAATATGGCATTCCTTAGAGCAACTCGGTCTTGCCATGGTTTTATGACATAACCTCAAAATAAAAAGTCATTTTTAACACCAAATAAAACTATAATAAAATTAAATTTCCATGCAAAATATTTTACCTAGTAATAATTATTTAATAATAATATTTATGAATTTTAAATTATTTAAATAACAATTAATTAATTTAATTAATTAAAATAATTTATTTATTAAAATTACTAATTTTTTGAAAAATTAAAAAAAAATTAATTAAGTTAAATTTTTAAAAAAATTTAACAATTTTAATCTAAGAATTTTATCAACAACTCAAAAGAAATAAGTTATTTTTTCTTTACAAAAACTAAAATTTATTTGTCTTTTCTTTACTATATTATCTATATTTTAGATAATAAGAAAAATTATGTTCCTAAGTTTTTTTTAAAAAAAAGAAAATATTGACTTATGTGAAATAAATTATTTAACATTAAAAATAAATTATAATTTATATATAATTATTGTTTCTTTATTGTTCTGCTGCTCAAGTCTTCATTTTCCTTAGTCGCAACTTATCAAATCAATTTTGTAAGTACTTTACCCATAAATAAATATTAGTTTTTATCAAAAACTGTAGACGGGGAAGAGGAATAAAATTTTGGTAAAATATAAACAGTGAATTTTTTTTAAAAATCATAACTTTTGTATAATAGGGCCATCAACATATTACGTCACACGAATTTAGGCGTTTTTTGACCCCCCCACCCCTTGTCAAAATCTGTCACATTTTTAACATTGTTAATAAACAATTAATATAATAAGTTTATACTGATCAAAATAACTTAAATAAAAATTCGAAAGGGTTTTTTCTCTACTTTATGAATATGAAATCTACATTTTTTAATTTTTAGGGTTCCGTTCACGCAGTGAACCGAAACGAAAGCCTTATAGTTTCACTCATGTCCGTCCACAAAATCATGCCCCCCCTCTAAAACCTAGCCATTTCCACCGATTGAGCTCAAACTTGACGTACATACGTATTTTTGCGAGCAGATTAAACGAAAATTATAGCGAATCCGATTGGAATTGAATTGAATATAGTTATATTACAAAAACTCGAAATTTCGGAATAAAACGTACCTCCCGCTTAACTTTTACAGTTTTGGAGCTAGGATGTTCAAAATTGGCATACATACGTATTTTTACGAGTAGACTAAAGGAAAATTATAGCAAACCCGATTGAAATTGAATTGCATATAGTTACATTCGAAAAACTTGAAATTTCTGAAAAAAGCGTGTCCCTCCGTCTTAACTTTTACAGTTTTGGAGCTAAGAAACTGAAACTTGGTACACATTTAATTTCACGTGTACATTTCACAAAAAATATAGCTAACCTTTTTGAAATTGACTTAAATATTGCTTCGCTACAAAAACTCAAAATTCCTGAAAAAAGTTCAAAATTCCTTTTTATCTTAACTTTAACAATTTTTTAGCCAACCATCTCAAACTTTGTACATATATATGTACATATTTACAAGCAAATTGAAAGAAAATTATAGGAATTTTTTTTTTTTAAACATATATGAGGCATTTCATATGAGAATATGGGGTCATGTCTCGGATTTTTCTCAAAATTCGGTAAATTGTAATGATAGTGGTGCTAAATAAGTGTACAAATTTTGAATTTGAAATTTTTAATATTTTTCGAGATATTTACCATAACAAATTTGAGCAATATTTTTTTGCTTTACTTATAACTTTTTCGCTACTAAAAATAGAGAAAAATGTTGACAATGTTTTTTACGTAAAATACCTTAAACTTTTAGAAAAACATTATTTTTTAAAAAAAATATTTAAATAATTAATAACATTTAAGGAAATGAAGATAAACCGTCAATTCTTTTTTTATTTGAAAGATCATCTAATTCTGTGTTAAATAAAACCAGTGTAAATAGCATTTTTAACAATACAAATTATTAACAAATGATTATTGAAAATCGTTGTTTCAGTACCCCACGGCACAACTCGGCAGAGGTTGCCTATACCTACTAGGCATGGTAATTTTCAGTCTTTTTCTAAATAACATTTTATAATTAATTCTTGATTCTTAGTAATACTTAATAATCTTTTTTAGACACAGATTTAGATGATCTTCCAAATAAAATAAGAATTGACGGTTTATCTTCATTTCCCTAAATGTTATTAATTATTTAAATATTTTTTATCATTAATTATTAATTTAACACCCGTTTATCCAAAATAGTTCATAAAGGGCTCGTTGGTTGCAGATTTTGATAAGCATTCTAATAGTGTTTTTAAAATTACTCTAATTTTATTTGTTCGTAAAATATTTCATATTTTATTAACTTTTGTTAGTTAATTAATTAATATCTCGAAAACAAAAAATAATGCCATCTTAAAAATTTAACCATCGATTTATTATGACTTAAATAATATTCATGATTTTTTTCGCGCTTCTAAATGAGGGAGAACATGTTTAAAAGTTATAAACAAATTTTATTTTTTAAACAAATTGTTTAAAAATTAATATTTTTTTTAAAGAATAATTTTTTTCTAAAAGTTTAAGATCTTCTGCGTAAAAAACATTTACAACATTTTTCTCTATTTTTAATAGGAAAAAAGTTATAAGTAAAGCAAAAAAATATTGCTCAAATTTGTTATGGTAAATATCTCGAAAAATATTAAAACTTTCAAATTCAAAATTTGTACACTTATTTAACACCACTATCACTACAATTTACCGAATTTTGAGAAAAATCCGAGACATGACCCCGTATTCTCATATGAAATGCCTCATATAAACATTTAAATAATCCTGAACGGAACCCTAGGTAAGCGAGTGTAACTCGCACTTGACCAATTTTTCTTTTAAAGCGTTTTTTTTAAATTTTAAGAAAAAACGCTTCAACAGAAAATATTAAAAAATTTATAGTTGAAATTTCGAAATTTTTTGTATTTTGCTATTTTGCTCTTTGCTATTGGGTCAAATCGTTTAGTGGTTGAATGTAAGTCCACTAGGACTATACTTCTGCCAAGTATCAACTCAATCTGAGAAATTAATTTTTGGGATAGAAACAATTAAGGAATTTTGCCCCATATATATTTAAACTTTGAAAATTAAAAATTCAACTTGAATACCCAAGCAGCACGGTATATACCCTGAATATCACCGAGGAATAGAGCGATTTCGCGAGCATCCTTAACTGCGTAGGTAGCATTTGAAGATTTATATTTCACATTTATATTTCGAATTATGGATTAGAAATGTAGGATCATATTCTACAAATGGTAAATTAATATTTAAAGCAAAAAAAAAATGTGAAAAAATTCCATTTTACATGAGTGTCTCCTCTCAAGTGAGGGGTCAATAGAATGTGGAAATTATGAAAAATAAATGAAATTTCCCGAAATAATATTTTAATCTACTTCAGTTGTTTCTTGTATCTTTGGTTAGTGTAAACACCTTGATTAAAGTTAACAAAAAATAAATATTAATATTTTGTATGAAAAAGTGTTAACAAAAGTTTTATTTTTTATAACCAAAAGTTATGTCAGTTTAAAACTCGTCAAATAAATGTAAATAAATTCAAAATTAAAGACCCTCTAAAATTGTTTATTTAAAACAGGGACCTCCACAAAAGTAGAATTTTGATTTCGTTTCTATATTTTGCAACGAAACGAAAATAGAATGTATTTTTGATTCCGCTTGGTTAACGAAACGTACCGAAAGTAGAATATACATTCGATTCCGTTTATTGAACGAAACTAAAGTATAATGTACTTTTGATTCCTTTTGGTGAACGAAGCGAAAGTAGAATGTACTTTTGATTCTGTTCAGTGAACAAAACTAAAATCCATCAGAATACTTTTCATAGTAAAAATATTCAAAAAAACACTTGTTTCAATCAGAAAATCAGAAGTATTTTATGGATTTTCGTTTCGTTCAACAAACGGAACCAAAAGTTCATTTTACTTTCGTTTCACTCACCAAACGGAACCAAAACTAAGTTGATTTTTTATTCTGATTTGGAATCAAAACTAAAATGAAAATTTTTTGACCGCCATATTTGATGGGTCTTTTTGAATTTTGAAAATCTAACTGATAATTTAAAATCAACGACGCAAAAAAACCTTAGAATATTGAGTATAAAAAATAATCAAAGGTCTTCAAATTTTGCGACATTGATAACCATTTTTTTGCAATTTAGGCGAACATTCAAGGGTTTAATAGATTTTCAAGTACACGGAAAAGTTTTTGGGATAGCTCAGAGCTCCTACGAGAGAAAGCAGTAAATTCAAAATGGTGCCACCTCTATATTTCATGCCTAGGAGCTTGGCGCCACTATTGTTGATAAAGAAGAACTACCTTTCCATGTAATTAATAAAAATATATAATTTTAGACTGTATACACCAGAGATAAAAAATAAATATACTGAAGATGTTGCGGTGAAAGTTTAGATTATAATTTTTAATGTTGACACTTTACGTTTACTCTCTTGCAAGAGAGAAAACTAATCACCTCTCGAACAATAATTTTGTAGAGAATAATTCTCTCTCAGCGTATACCAGTTAATAAAGATAAACAAACTAAAAAATTACCTCCATAACCACCAGGTCTACTAGAAGGGCCATTACTGCGAGGTGGTCCACTGTTACCTCCTTGTTGACGATAATCTCTTGCACCAAATCCGCCACTGAAACGACTGCTCTTCGCATTTCCTGGACGACGAGAACTTCCGCCAGTGTGTCTAGCCTCTGAGCACATATCATCAAGCCATTGTGGCAGTTCTTGGTTAGCTTCAATTAAAAGAGATACCAAGTCACGTACAAGATTGTGATTCTTGTTATTGAAAAATGATGTAGCTAAACCTGTTGTCGAAAAATATATACGAATTAAGTTTACATTAACAGTTGAAATAATTTTCTACATTAAAAAAGATTTTGCTTTACAAACCTAAATTTCCCATACGACCAGTACGTCCAATTCGATGAACATATTCTTCCACATCTCCAGGGAGATCAAAATTTATAACATGTGTAACGTGTGGAATATCGAGACCACGAGCAGCAACCGCAGTTGCAACTAAGATTGGAGTATTACCAGCACGAAAACGACGAAGGGCATCTTCACGCTCACGCTGAGTTCTATCACCATGAATACTAGTCACAGGAAATCCTACCTTATACAGAAATTCTTCTAGTGTATCCGCGCCTTTCTTGGTCTCCACGAAAACAAGAGTTAAGGCCTCTGCAGCTGAAGAATAAAAAATTTAAATATTGAAAAACTTGATACATTTTTAATTCACTTCCTTTAAGAAGAACACACTTACAAGGTTGATGATGATTCTCAGCTTCAAGCAGATCAAGTAAATGAGATCGCTTATCGTGCTCTTCAACCCAGACAATTTTCTGGGTAATATTTTCAGAAGTGGAACCCACCCGCCCAACAGCTAAAAATATGTAATTACTCAAAAAATCTCTAGCTAACATTTGAATCTCCTTCGGGAAAGTAGCTGAGAACATAAGAGTCTGTCTTTCTCCGGTAGGAGGCATGTTATCTTCTTCAACTATGCGCCTAATTTGAGGTTCGAAACCCATGTCAAGCATACGATCTGCTTCATCAAGAACTAGATATCTACACAAGAAATTTCAAATTACTATTAAAGGAATAAAAATAATGCAGGAGGCTATATTTTTGAGCGAATCAAATTTACATATGTCAAAAAATAATACAATCTTCCTTAACGGAAAGTATCTTACCGACAATATTGCAATCCAATCTTGCCACGACTAAGCATATCCACTAAACGACCAGGAGTTGCTACCAAAAGATGACAGCCGCGATCTAACTCACGCATTTGATCGACAATATTTGCTCCACCATACACGACGGCAGGGCGCATTCGTGATCTATAAGCGAATTTACGAGCCTCATCATGAATTTGAGTAGCTAATTCTCTAGTGGGAGCTAGAACAAGACCTAATGGATATTGTTTTCGTCGTCCAGAAGTTTGAGGGGGAGCTGGTGGTTGGCCACTTTCATAAATTTGATTTAGAATTGGTACCAGAAAGGCCGCTGTTTTACCAGATCCTGTTTGAGCACAGGCCATTACATCGCGCCGTGCAATTATAATTGGAATCGCATATTTCTGAACTGGAGTAGGTTTATCATAACCAGCTAATTGAATGCTGTTCTTTATTATCTTTGTCAGCTTAACTTCATCAAACTGTAAAAATTGTGTACATTGAATATGTCGTAGGTCGATAGACAATCAAGCCTTTAGCAGGTCTGTTAAGCTGGCACCACAAGTTTGATATTTTTAAATATCTCCTAGGTGAGAATTTAGGGCTCAATTAGGGCTAATTACCGCTAAAAATGAAAAATTTACCGCTCTTTATTTTATTTTATTTTTTTTAAAAAAAAGCGGTTGGTTCTACCTTAACGTTAAGCTGGCACCAACCGCTTAAAAAACCAAATAAATAAAGAGATAATTAAAATTCTACCATGCCATAATTCAGAGCTTATTTAGGGCTTTCAAATGGACATAGAAAGAATTTTCAAAAAAAAAATTCAAAATCAAAGAACACACTCCACCATATAGTTTTTTTTAGAAAGGAGTTGGTGCTACCTTAACTTTTAGCTGGCACAACTCACTTCAAAACCCTAATAAAAAATCGGATATTTAAAATTCGACTTTGCCATAATTTAGGGCTCATCTCATTTAAGGCTTTAAAATGGACGTAGAGAGAAATTTAAAAAAAATTTCTAAATCGAAAAAAATCGCGTCCATTTGAAAGCCCTAAATGAGCCCAAAATTATGGCAAAGTCAAATTTTAAATATCCGATTTTTTATTTGGGTTTTGAAGTGAGTTGTGCCAACTAAGAGTTAAGGTAGAACCAACTACTTTTTTTAAAAAAAAATGAAGATTTTTTTCGATTTAGAAATTTTTTTTAAATTTCTTTTTACGTCCATTTGAAAGCCCTAAATGAGCCCTAAATTGTGTCAGGGTGGATTTTTAAATATCTCGTTTTTTATATGGTTTTTTTTAGCGGTTGGTGCCAGCTTAACGTTAAGGTAGCACCAACCGCTTTTTTAAAAAAAAAATAAAGAGCGGTAAATGTTTCATTTTTAGCAGTAATTAGCCCTAATTGAGCCCTAAATTCGCACATAGGAGATATTTAAAAATATCAAACTTGTGGTGCCAGTTTAACAGACCTGCCATTAGCTAAAAGCCAAGACAATTAGCTAGGAGCATAAGTCCTTAAAGGGCTACTCGTCTGATCATTTTTAGGCCATTAGATTAAACACTAATTATAATAATACCTTCTTCTTGTTTCAATTTATAATTTTAATTCATTATAAACTTTTTGAAGTGACACGCTTTCTAACACAAGTTTTACAGAAAGAAACAAACGTAGCGCAGGATATTTTTGGAATTTTCAATTTGTCTTTGGCATAAATCAATCATCTTATCCCTACCAACATGACATGTTCGAACGTGAGCTTCTAAATGTTTGTCGTCGAATTTTTTGAATAATAATTTATTAATTTCGCTTCAAATTTTGTACGATTGATAATTATTTCCGACATTTTCGCGACTATATCGGACGAAATGAAATTAGAAACTAAAATTTATTTTTTAAATTATTTCAATTAATTAACGTAAGAGTAAAACCTATATTATTTCTTTATTAGGCAAATACTAATATTTACATTTATCAACAAGAGGTCATCATTATTGAATAGTGTTCATTCTAATGGGCTCAATATGATTAGGCTAGTAGCTAATGGACTGATATTTCTAGGCAAGTAAGAGAATATAAAAATTCAATTTCTTCTACTGGCCGGCTATTAGCAAATTGCTTATTATTAATAATTAGTTCACTGTTTGAAACAATTTTATATATAGGGGGCCGTCCATAAACTACGTTACCTACTTTAGGGGGGGAGAGGGTCAAAAAGTCTAAAAAATGCATTTTACTCTATGGTAACGACGGGGGAGGGGGTCTAAAAGAATGAAAAATTGGTAACGTAGTTTATGGACAGCCCCTAGTAGAAAATAGAAATTTAACAGTATATTAACAACTCACGGATGTAATGTGTGTTGGTATGTTTTCTCCAGTAGCTTCAACTGGAATATCCTCATATTTACTAAAATTAATTCCAGTATTGCCAGTGCCAAAAAGTTCCTCCTCCAATCGTTCATCGCGAGCTGTTGGTACTGTCCAGTCGATTTCTGAACGTCCACCTTTGTTACCACCTTCTCTTTCATCTTTCCATCTACCACCACCACCGCCACCGCTTCCCATTCTTTGATCGTTTCTATCTTGCCAGCGATCATTTCGAGGCTGTTCCTGCCAACGATCATTTCCAGAATTGGTCGCACGGTCCCCTCCGCGATCGTTATTTGAGAAGCGATAGTCCCTTCCATTTTCTTGAGGTCCTCTTCTATTTCGACCTCCGAAATTGCCAAAATCAACGTCTCGAGTGTTACGAGAATCTCTGTAAGTATTACCTCCACTACCACTTCTGCCTCGATCTCCACCACGGTCTCTGTCTCCACCATACAACGGTCTTCCGTTATTAGAAGACTGATTACCACCTGGCTGTGAGTTATCTACTAACAAAATATCAACAATGACATGGTAAAATTTTAGGATAATTAAAATTCGAATAATTTGAAACTTTAATTGATTAATCTTTAGATAGATTGAAATTCCGTTAATTTTAAGTTTCGATCGATTAAACTTGCATTTAATTAACAAATTTGTTTTGACCAATAGAAATTAGAGATGAATGAAATTAAAATTTAGGTGCAACTGAAATTTGAATCGAATAAAATTTAATTAAATTAAAATTTGGACGAATTAATATTTGAACAGATTCAAATTTCGATATTTTGAAGTGAGCTACCGGATCAAAGAAGGGCATATAATCCATTTAAATTACATTAGCCCTTCTTTGATCTGATAGCTTAATTGATGGTTTATTAGATTTACACTACCGTCGGGAATTATGCAACCTTTGATTTTTTGATATAAAAAGGGCTTAAATAATAAAATCCAATCATTTCTTCTCCCGTTTTAAAATTGCGTCCATTTTAACCCAAGGGTAAAAATGAACAACTGGCCTATGTGTTTTTTTACCCTAGGATAAAAATAGATGCCATCTTTAAATGGTAGAACAAATGAATAGTTTTTTCACCAGGCTGTCAGGTAACCTAAATGCGCCACGTTTGTGTCTTTGGAATAATTAAAATAATTGTAAGTAACTTGGGTCCAAAGGCAGACAATTGTTTACGTTGGGACACTTTCCTTCTCACGATCGAGATACTTATTCAACATGATATAAAGGGGCAGTGATTTCGATTAAGATGTAGGTATATGCTCAGTTCTACACTAATAAGTGGATATTCAGCAAATAAGTTTTTGAAAATTGTTCTTCTTGATCTAGGACATTTTACTATACAATAAACTTTAACTGAATTAATTAATTTTTTTCATTTATTTTTAAAAAATATTTAATTTTTTATTAAAATACATTTTAAACGAAATAAGTTTTTTTATTATTGGTTTTATTATTGGCTGCCATTGTTGAGCCAATGATGAATGACAATCATTGGCAACGTCGAGATCATTCCACAATTTTTGCACACAGAAAAAAAAATTCTGTAAGAATTATCGAATTTGTACCGAAATCGAGGATTTGTGCAAAAAAAACTTAACTTTTCATGAATATTACGTAAAATCTATTTAACTGTTCTGAAAGAATTCCGGAACTGTATCCGTAAGTCTTTAAACTTACCAATAAAAATAAATTCCTGAAAAAGTCTAGAACTATTTCATAATATTTCAGGAATTCTCCCATAGAAATAACGTTTCTTTGCCGGCATATTTACAATCACCTTATTCGAAGGAGGCGCATGAATATTGCCCAATTAACATGTGACAGAAATGTCAATTAACCGAAATGCATGACACACATGTCATTTGACATAAATGACAAGTATCTAAATTGTCATTTAACATAAACGACATGTAACAAAAATGTCATTTGACATAAATGACATGTTAAAATATTGTCATTTGACATAAATGAAATTTATCAAAAATGTCATTTGACATAAATGACAATTATTAAAATTGTCATTTGACATAAATGAAATTGATCAAAAATGTAATTTGACATAAATGCCAATTATCATAATTGTCATTTGACATATGTAACTATTATAAAACTTTATGGATTTTAATTTTCTAGTAAAGGTTTTTCAAGGATTTTTGACGTACTTTTCAATGCTGAAAACAGTTTTTTGAAAAAAAATTTTTAACCCCTTTTTCAAAAACAACCCTTATTTTTCATTTTTCACCCCTTTGGACATTTTTTTTTAATTTTATTTTTATTTGAAAGCTGAGGTTTTTTCCGATGAGCCATGTAAAAATAAAAATGTGACAAACATAAGTTTTCGAGAAAATTGATAACAAACTAAGCGGCGCGACCCTCCCATTGATGCAGTGGGCCATGCCGGGCTATTGTCTTACCTTTCAATATAATAGGTTTTACTATAATATTATTTTATTAATTACAGTTAACAAATAGTACAATTTTACATTTTTTGGTGCATAGTTTTTATAAATAATTATGTGAATTAATAATATTAATGATAATTGATGTTAATAATTAACAACTAATTGTACACTTGAATAATTTCTTTAAAAAAATTATCATTTATTCTTTTCTTTAAACGTTCTGTCAAGATATTTTTCAGTCTGTAATTTTAATAAATAATTCTGTAAATTTATGAATTAGAAGTTCTACATTCAAATTGTCTATAGAGTATTATTATTGATTTATTCTTTTCAACTTTTATGCCTGGCAAATTTTTCTTATTTATATTAGTTTGTCAATCTCTCACTAGATGGCCTATGATTTTTCTATAACTCAAAAGCGAGATTCATTTAAGCAGGTATAAGAAGGCGTCTGTAATCAAATGGTTTGCTTTTACAATTTATTTTGTGAATACGTTTTTCGAAGGTAAGTATTGTTCAAGGAAAATATGTTATCGAAATCGATTTTCTATTTGAAGATTCGACAATTATTTTTTCATTAATTCATTCTTATGATTTTTATCTTTTAAGTATATTTGTTTTGAAATTTCATTTCCGCTCAAATGACGGACACAAAAAAAGATTTAAATATTTCTTGGAGAAATGAATGTACAAATCCTTTTGGGAAAAAAATCATAGATTAAATGATTTACGTCGCATTTCAAGTTCACTGCGAGACAAATTTCCGACATTACCAGAGAATTCGAAAATTTGTTCTATATAAATTGAAAATATAATGTATTAAAATTACTTAGTTATATAATTGTTTATTTTTTGAAGTTAAAAAAAAATAAAAAAAAAACCATTGGCAAATTAAACTGATCCTCCAGTTTCTCACAAGCGCCAAACGAAAAGGACGATTAGTACACTGAGAGACCTTTTGGACTGCAGCGGAACAAGGTAAGTGACAGCAGCGCCACTATGGTTTTGGTGTGCGGCGGTACAATTTTGGGAGTGTGACTGTCCAAAATGTTGGTGAGTAGCTCACCGAAGTAGTGGGGACTCCATCTTTAGTTTGTAGCTGTACAACTTTTTGGCAGTCACGTGCCCAAAAATGTACCGCAGAAGCCCAAACGTATAGCCTCGTAGCTTACCAACAGAATGCTCCGCAGCCGCCTGTCGAAGGTCAGCTACGGAGCAATAGGTCTCTCAGTCTATATAAAAGAGTTTCTAAATCCCTTCTACCAGCGTGCGAATTAATGCGTCGTGTATTTGCGTTTATATGTGTATGTAGCGAAACTATTTTAGGTTATAGATTTAAGTGTGCATAAGAATATATGTAGGTAGGAAAGTGTCTCCATGTATCATCTCGACCAATCAGACACAATAAAGGCGTCTACTATATGCCTCCTTTTTTTCTTTCGTCTCGCCGTCAGAATTTTTCCGGAACTCGACCGTAACTTCTATCGACAATTCAGTAATATCTACTTCTACTCGACCGGAAATTATATATGAAATCTTTAAGTCCCTGGTTTCCTAAATATTACTGCAGAGTTCCGGAATTTTTACATATAATTCAGAAATATCTACTTCAAAAGTTCCGTCCTTTTTCCGAATAAAAGGTCTGTAATAATTATGGTTTTTTGCACAAATCCTCGCTTTCGGAACGATTTCGGGAATTCCTACACTGAAAAACTTTTGGGGCAGCTGCTCTCCCAATCAAAAAATTTCTATATTCAGTTAACTTCACTCATATAAAAACTTATGATAAATATTGAGTATGAAGTTAATTGAATATAGAAATTTTTCGATTGAGAGAGCAGCTGCCCCAAAAGTTTTTCAGTGTACGGAACTTTTTTTTCCGTGCAGGTTTGGGCCATTAATGGTTACCAATAATGAAGCATGAAAAAATCATTGGCTTCCAATATTGGTCCATTAATAAGCCAATGATACAAGCATTGGCAATTTCCCACTGGGTACTTAACAAGTTTAGAAAGTTTTTGGGTTACACATTTAGATTTTCTTATTTCCCTTCGCACTCTATAGGCCAACGCAAAATAGATTCTGTTTGCATTTTGCGAAGGTATTCTCCGTTAGCCTTATCAATTTTCAATTATATAGGAAAGATGTATGCAGGTTGAGACAGTTGATATTATAGTAAATTTTTTATTTATGAAAATCTCAACCCGCATACATCTCCCATACTTAGAAAAATAACAATTTATTGATTAAAAAATAATTTTGTTGAGCACTTTTTTTGATAATACTTAAATTTGGTTGACAAAATAAAGAAGAAAGCAGTAGTTAACTGGAGAAATTGGTTAACTTGGACTACTCCAGAAAAACTGTTATAGAAAAAAAAACTATAAAGGATATCGAAATATTCTTTTATTAAATTAAAACTGAGATAAGAGTAACTTTTCTTTACGATAAACATTTAATTAACATGAAAATGACAAAGATAATGAAAAAAAGTGAAAAGTGTTCTATAATGCCCCAATCGCCCCTATTTAAAAATTACTTATACTAACTTGAACCAGATTTATTGCGTAGATGAGGTGGCACGTATCGACCCCCACTGGCTTGGTGGGAGTCCTGCAAGTCCAGACCAGCTAACTAAAAAGAAAGTGATATTAATGTTAACAATTTGAATGATTATCTACATTTAGTGTTTGGTCAGTTTCTTTTTTAAGAGTAATTATTTATATGCGGAAAAAAATTGTTCATAAGAAAGTCGGAAAAAGTTCAAAAGCCCAGGATAACGTGATCATTTCATGAGTAATTCAAACTAGTGCTTTTAGATAAGTAATACACTGTTTTTGAAGTAGTTTGGAATATTTCATCACTTATTGATGAATTACACAACATGACTTTCTTATAAAGTCTCATTTGAAAAATTCGGGAACTATTTCAGAAAGAAAATGTGAATTAAATGAAAGAAAAAATTGAAGATCCCGATCAAATAACTCGACCGACGCTCGGACGAACGCTCTAATGGTAGTTGGGTAGCAGTGATCCGCCCAGAGACTGTCACTGCATGCTACTTGACTGGTAATAGAGCGGTCGTCCGAGTATCGGTCGAGTTATTTGATCGGGACCCTTACACGTTTTTCCTCAATTGAAAAATATTTACTAAAATATCTACTTATAAATACTTAATAAAGTTTGTTACATATTTTCTTTCAGCGTAGTAAACAAATTTTTCGTCCAGAACTTCAGGCACATATTTTTACAACGATTTTAGTCGAATAAATTTTGGTAAATATATTTTTTAATTATCGCTTGGCATTGTCATTTCGATTATGTCTCCTAATAACATGTACCATTTTGAAATTTGTTGACTCAATTTTTGTAGAAGTTACAGAAGTGGGAAAAAGTATGTCTCACAATACCTTAATCTCTTCTATAACCACAACAAAACTTTAGAAATTGTAATTTTCAAATAGCGTTCATTAAAAGATTTTTCATGCATTTTTTAATGCCAGAAAAAGTTTTTTTAACGAAATTTTTTAAACCACTTTTTTGCAAAATTATTGGATTTCTTACATTTTTTCAAACCCCATTGTTGTCCCACGTTCATCTTTAGGGTAGGGCGGGGATAATTGAGCATTTTTTCACTTGATCGGTCGTAGCTCCTCAACGAAAAGTCCAAATTGCTTGCTATGCATACTGATGGATAAGAAATCTATCTCTTTTTAAAAATCTCTATAGTAATTTACTTCTAATATATCACGTTTAAGAGCTAGAGTCGTTTAAGTCAAATATGCTCAACGTTCCCCACAGATGAGGTAAGTTAAGCAAGGGTATATGGGGCAAATTGAGCAGTTAGAAATTTCAGCCAAACCATAGCTATTTTTTGTCAATTTTTTATTTATAATTTTTTAGTGTCATGAAAATGAAATATAAAACATTTTCTTTTAAACATTAATAGTAAAAAAAGAATTCACAAAACCTCAACTTAAAAGTGTAATTTTTGGAATCGACTCAGTCTTTCTGCTTTAAATCACATTCACTTTAATAATCACTTATTGTTAGTCATCAGATCGATTCAATTTAAAATTAAAAATGACAGTAAGGGGCCATTCATTAATTACGTAAAGGTCACTGAAATATATATACTACTGGAACAGGCTAGAGGAAAAGGAAGCTATTCTTACGTAAGATTTTGACAAGTATTTTCCATTTTTACTGTTGTAATTAATTCTTTTAATTACATTAAGATTTTTGAAAACTTACGTAAAAAGGGGGAGGGAGTCTGAAAAATCTTAATGGGGTTACATACCTTTATATGGGTCAAAAAATAAATTTTTTTTATTGCATATATCAAAAGTACATACTCTAGAGAACTTTTTCCCGAAATTTTAACAAAATCGGAGCACTAGAACTAAAGTTCTGATTCTGAAATCAGAATCAAAAGTCAGCTATATTCAGTTTGGATTCTGGTACCTGAATCAAAAGTCTAGTTCATTCAAGTTTTGATTCTAAAAACAGAATAAAGTAAATCCGAACGCTTTTAGTAAGTTTCAACAATCACATAAGTTTTTTCTTTAAAAAAAAAATACTTCCGGTATTCTGGTGCATGAAGTTGTTACTTTACTTCCATAGAACAATTTTATGGGGTAGCAAAAATTTTTGATAAATTACAATCGCAGGAAACTTAGCGTTCGTATTTACCTCGATACTTTGCAACTTTCCTAAAATACCGGAGTAAATACGAACGCCACTGTATTTCAGAAAAATCTTAGGGAAAATAAATTTAAAGTATTGCAATTGTTAAACTTATATAAAAACTCAAAAAAAATACGATAATAAACCTATTATGTAATAATGCATCATATATAAATACAAAAATCAAACAGGTTAAAAATTAAAATGCATTACACAATTAAAACCTTCAATAACTTTATCAAATCATAACGGATTTTTGCAAAACTTGGTACAGAAAGTATTTTAGAGTGATTGAATGTACCCAGGTGCGAATTGTCGGTCGGCCCATGGTCGGGCCGACCATGTGCATGGTCGGCCCACCTCGGGCAGCCAGAGGTCGGGCCAACTAGCGAATTGATAACGTCGGCCGACCTATGGTCGACTAAGTTGGACCGACTATGGGTACCATAGTCGGGCCGACCAAGGCTGCCCTAGTTGGGCCGACCATCCTTGCCGACGGTCGGCAGCCATAGTCGGGCCGACCATGGCAGCCATAGTTGGGCCAACCTTGGCTGCCGACCATCCAACTTGACGGTCGGCAGCCATAGTCGGCCCGACTAAGGCAGCCGAGGTCGGCCCAACTATGGCTGCCATGGTCGGCCCGACTATGGCTGCCGACCGTCGGCTATGATAGTCGGCCCAACTATGGCAGCCTTGGTCGGCCCGACTATGGCTGCCGATGGTCGGGCCAACTAGCGAATTGATAACGTCGGCCGACCTATGGTCGACTAAGTCGGGCCAACTATGGGTACCATAGTTGGGCCGACCTTGGCTGCCGACCATCCAACTTGACGGTCGGCAGCCATAGTCGGCCCGACTATGGCTGCCATGGTTGGGCCAACCTTGGCAGCTAAAATTTTGCCGACCATAAACATTAAAATATAAAAATTTGTTATACAAATAACATATATTAGTAATCATTTTAAATTCATTATACATTTATTTTATATACTTAAACACTAAACGCAATCGTAAACATACATATATACAAATTAAAATTTTTAACGCTCGCAGGGATCGAACTCGCAACCTAACGCACCGCAGTCTAATACGCTAACCACTACACTACGCAATGACATATGAGTCACGGAGAAAAATAAATGTTATAAGCTACAGCTTGAAAAAAATTAAAGTTAGTAATTCAAAATAATAAATTAATCACATATAACCTTTTTTCTTTTTAAATTAATCAATTACAAGTAAATTAACAAAAACATTTTACATTTGTCAATGGTAGGAGAGAAATTTACTTTATGATGGTCGGCCCAACTATGGCAGCCAAGGTTGGACCGACCTTGGCTGCCAAGGTCGTATCGACCATTGTCCCCCATGGTCGGCCCAACTATGGCAGCCAAGGTTGGCCCAACTATGGCTGCCAAGGTTGTGCCAACCATTTTCCCCTTAGTCGGCCCAACTGTGGCTGCCATAGTTGGACCGACTATGGGGAAGAATGGTCGGCCCAACTATGGCAGCCACAGTTGGGCCAACCATGGCTGCCAAGGTTGTGCCGACCATTACCCCCATGGTCGGCCCAACTATGGCAGCCATGGTTGGCCCAACTGTGGCTGCCATAGTTGGACCGACCATTACCCCCCCTGGTCGGCCCAACTATGGCAGCCAAGGTTGGCCCAACTATGGCTGCCAAGGTTGTGCCGACCATAATCCCCCATAGTCGGCCCAACTATGGCTGCAATGGTCGGCCCAACTGTGACTGCCGACGTCGGCAGCCATAGTCGGCCCAACTTTGGGTGCAAATATTTACCATGGTCGGCCCAACTCTGGCTGCCGACCGGTCGGCAGCCAGAGTTGGGCCGACCATGGGCCGACGAACCAACTCTGGCGGCCGACCGAAATTCGCACCTGGGATCGTGTTTCTTTTGAGAAAAATAATTCTGTAATCCTTGATATACCGACCATCGATATACTCGGCTGCCAGTCATGCTGACTACATTCCCCGTAGTCGGCCCAACTGCGGTTTTCAAAGTCATGCCGACCATTCTCCCCCTAGTCGGCCCAACTGTGGCTGCCATAGTTTGGCCGACTATGGGGAAGAATGGTCGGCCCAACTATGGCAGCCAAGGTTGGACCGACCTTGGCTGCCAAGGTCGTACCGACCATTGTCCCCCATGGTCGGCCCAACTATGGCAGCCAAGGTTGGCCCAACTATGGCTGCCAAGGTTGTGCCAACCATTTTCCCCTTAGTCGGCCCAACTGTGGCTGCCAAGGTTGTGCCGACCATTACCCCCATGGTCGGCCCAACTATGGCAGCCATGGTTGGCCCAACTGTGGCTGCCATAGTTGGACCGACCATTACCCCCCCTGGTCGGCCCAACTATGGCAGCCAAGGTTGGCCCAACTATGGCTGCCAAGGTTGTGCCGACCATAATCCCCCATAGTCGGCCCAACTATGGCTGCAATGGTCGGCCCAACTGTGACTGCCGACGTCGGCAGCCATAGTCGGCCCAACTTTGGGTGCAAATATTTACCATGGTCGGCCCAACTCTGGCTGCCGACCGGTCGGCAGCCAGAGTTGGGCCGACCATGGGCCGACGAACCAACTCTGGCGGCCGACCGAAATTCGCACCTGGGTAAATACAAAAATAAAAGTTAAATTTTTTAAATTCAAAATGGCGGACTTTCCTAAAACTTATTTTTAAAAATGATCAAATTTGCTAACTCCAAATTCGTAATCAGCGACCCTGAAAACCCCGAGTAACAATTTTCGAGAGAATCCAATGAATTTTTTAATTCTCGTCCGCCATTTTGAATTTTGAAAAACTGACTTCAAATTGGTAATTAGCGACCCCAAAAACCGTAGAATACCAAATTTTATTAAGATCCTGAAAAACTTTTTTCAACAAACCATTTGGCAAAAAAATTGAAACACTCCTTCGAGAGAACAGAGATTAAGTTTCTGCTTATTAATTACTAACGAGGATACGTATAGAAAGAAAAACTTTTTTCTATGTACTTTTATAATGTTAAAATAATAGTGTAATGAAATAAAAACAATTTTGTGTGGCTCTGATGTAAAAAAAAATTATTGAAAATACCGTTCGGATTTACCCCGGTTTTCCAATTTTCCTGGGTAAATACGAACGGTCTGATATTATTAATAAAATTTTACAGAAGGCAAAAATCAAAAATAGTTTCTGTTCTAGTATTCAAAACAAACAATTATAAATAATAAAATAAATTTTTAGCTTCTTTTTCTTCAAATACGAGACAAAATACTGAAAGAGTGTCATCTTTGATTTTCAATCTTTTTTGCAATACTCGTTATCTTTGTTTATGCTGTTGCTAATTAACAAACGAAAAATGGGATAATACTTAGAATCTCTTGAAGAGGATCTGAGGTAAAAATTCTCATATCAAACTTATTTTTAAAAATTTTAATTAAGCTGAAATAATTAGCGTTCGGATTTACCCCCCGTTCGGATTTACCCCGGCTGAACCTAAATTATTTTTAAATATTTTATCGTAATTTTTAAACATCACCATTCCCGCAATACTAGATAGTGGCTAGAATACAAAATTGTGACAAATGGGCGTAGCGCCATTACAGTGTCACGGCAAGCTAGGATGGTGCCATCCTAGCGCCACGATATTTTTCTACACGGGAATTATTTAAATTTTAATTGATTATTTTTTTCTAGATACCAGCATTTCCGTCGATAAACGTCCTTAATATTAGAAAAACACTTTGGAGACAAATTAATATTTGAAATAAATGGCGTTACGACTGCTTAACAACCGTTTTAAATCATTAATTTCTAAAAATTTAAAATACTTAAATATTCATAAAATCTTTATTTTATCGATGGTTGATTGCTCATCGGCTCAAACTATATATGTGGGTTATAGTGAACTATCCTTCTTATTACATTAAGTTCCAAAACGACCAAGACTATACCACAAAATTTTTGTTTCTTATAAATTTAATTTTGACTATATACATTATTTTATAAACAATTAAAGACTGGATTTTTCATAACTATTACATTTTACTATTATAAAAAATGATTTTTCTGACTGCATGACGTAGTACGCAATGTATACTTTAAATATTGAACTGATCAAACAATTAGAATGTCAACTATTTGACTTCCATATTTTTAAAAATGATTTTTAGACTTTTTGATCTGCTAAATCATTAAATCTTTAGTATTAAGTCGCCTATGGTCCATACTTTTTAAATTTCCATATGTCGGTAAGAACATGCTTCTATGATAAACACAAAAAACGACTATATGTATATATGTGTTTCTGCGTCTAACGTGCGCATACGAGGAAGATAAAGAGAACGACTATACGTCTAATGTGCATGTTAGACGAAGATGACGAATATCAGTTCGACCAATTAAAGGTCACTGTAGATGACACTAACAGGGTATTAAATGTTCTTCACAATAAAAAATTGAAACTTGAGAATTAAAAATAAAAGCTTAATAGATTTTTGTATATCATTCAAATTTTCACTGAATGAATGTAAGTATAATCAAATAGTATCTGCATTTTTTCAACAAGTGCTTGCGTATCAGCACAATTTGTCTGTCAATAAATAATGTCTATTTCACATCCACAACTTAAATGCAATCATGAAGAAAATCGATTGAAATTATGCGCTACATGTGGGAAAAAAATTGTTTTTCAAAATGAACCTTCCCAGTATTTCTTATTAACTGAAAAACATTAAAGTAATACGTGAGAGATAATAATAATAATCAATGATCAGTTTAATATTTCTAATGAGAAATTTCCAAAAAGTCTGTGTAGCTCTTGTCGACTAACTATATTAATGAATATGAAAAAAAATTTTAAAAGACCTTGTCCAAATATCCCTAATTACCTGGATCTTAATTTGGCAAAAGAAACAAGAACGTTGATTTGTAACTGCTACATATGCTTAACAGCGCGACTTCCTAGCTATTTAAAAACAAAAAAAGGTAGAAGTCAAGATAGAAAGTTCTCTACTAAAATTGATATAAATAATGGCCTTAATGGTACACTGTGCAAAATGGATCACTTTCTAAAAGTGAAGAGAATGCAATCGAAGCGCGATCTTCTATTCAAATCTATAGTAGTTGTTTCCAAGAAATAGGTAAAGGCATTTCACATTCTTGTAAAGGTCCTTCTTCTTCTAATGCACGTGATAATGTGTTCAATATAGTGGAACAATTACCTGAGGAACAGCAGAAACAACTAGTAACTACTCTTTTAAAATGAAAACTTGTGAGTAGTGAAGGAGGAAAAAATGAGATTCCTTTGAATACAGCAGGTTCAAAGGCTCGCATAACTATAAATAAAAAAAGGAGAAAGAAGTAATCTTTTCTGCTCAAAGTTTAGATCAATTTCAAACTATTACTGGCTGTTCTACAAATTATATGAAAAAATTGGCAAACTTCATTCGTTCTTCTGCTGGAAGAAAAGCAGTTCCTTCAAATCATAATCAACATATGTATGAAAAACCAAAAATGATGGAAAACATTTACAAAGAAGGTCTCTATGAATTCGAAACGTCTAAGGAAGGAGTTAAAAAAGACCAGTCGTGTATGCCAATGCGTCAGAACTTCTTGATTTTGCCTTTGAGAATCGGAACATTGAGCATATAGAAGAAACAAGAATAAAAGTAATGTCAGATGAAGGCCAAGGTTTTTTTTTAAATTTCTATCTCAATTTCAATCCAAGAAGACGAAAAAGAAGAAAATGATTCAGATACGTATGAAAGTAAGAACGTTTCATTTTACTCTACTGGTGGAAGTACAGCGAACGAACGCAAAATGAATAGTGTCTACAAATTGACTTAATTATGCATAGTTCCTCAGATTAAAGAGACTTATGAAAATTTCAAAACCTTAGTTGAATTAACCAAACAGAATGAGATACCTTTCAAATTTCTTTTAGACTTAAAACCTTTTCTTGTTGCTAATGGACAGCAAACGGCGACGGCAACTTACTCTTGCTCTTATTGTTTTATTACATTAATTGAATTAAAGAGATTTGATAAAATTGTTGATGATAATAATTCGAATAAAGATGAAGAGAATTTTCATTTAAAGACTTACAAACAGTTGAAAAATGACTATTTGCAATTTAAAAGAATAGGTTGTGACAAGAAAAAAGCTAAAGAATGTCACAGCACTATTCATTCCTCCTAACCACCTCTCTGAAGTTGGCATCGACGCCTCAGCGCCGAAAATTGTTTTTCTCAGAATCAAAAATTTCAAATTATTTTTTTTAATTGTTCATTCCAGATAATACCTTGCAAAATACTTCTCAAGGCATTGTGGGACCCAAAAATTTTACGCATTTGTATCATAAATAACTATTTTTTGTTTGTTTAGATAATTAATTGTAAGGAAAACGTCACTAAATATAAAAAATCAATAAACAATCTTCCCAATAAGGAAAATAATAAGATAGAATTAAATTTCAATTAAAGAAACATCGTATTTATTATACAACAAATAGTTTTAACTAATTGTTGTCGTTCACGAAGAAACGTCTGTCGGTGAACTTTGCAAAACTTCATAAATCTCCGTAAAGTGGACGGAGATTCACTAAAGCGTGCACAAAGTTCCCTAACCGATCAGTAATCTTCGTGAATTTCTGTTGCAAGGGAAACAGACATAGGCCGGTTTGCCCCCACAGGCCCATTAAGACCATTAAGATTTGTATAAAACAAATGCTTCGTAAAATCATTAAATAATATACCGATAAATTTAACTTAGGTATGCACCTTTTAAACCTGAAAAACAATTTTAATAAACATTACTCGATTTTCTCACAAATTGCTTATGAACAGATCCGTAAAAATTTCTAGCTGAAGCGAAAAAACAAATTTTTTTTATAAAATTGCACAAACACAATTAAAAAATGTCAAACTGAGGAAATAAGGTATTCTTAATATAGTCTTTTCAAATTTATAATTGACATATTTTAAAATTTCACCAATTCGAAGAAATTAACACCTGGCCGGTTTACCCACATGGTCGGTTTGCCCTAGTCTCCCCTATATTTTAAACTTTTATTATAAAAAAAGTAAATACTTTGAAAAATGAAAAATCTGACGGCACCATTATTATGAGCTATATTACAAAAACGTCTAAATAAAAAAACTGAATTGACATTTATGTATCAAAGTTTTTTAATTTGTGATTTCTTTTTATCAAAATTCCCTGACTTCTCCCTGACTAACAAAATTCACTGACTTGTGGCCACCCTGCTCCTGAACTACATCTCTTACGAGGATTTGTCAATCACCTTTTTTGGGATGGTATAGTTAAAATAGGTGGTATCGGAGAAGAAAAGGCTTTGCTGTGGCCAAACAAACTAGGCATATCTCACAAAAGCTATCAAGGAAATATTTTTGAAGGCAATCATTGTCGAAAACTTCTTAAAGAAGCGGATAAATTACAGGATCCTGAAATTTACAATTATGTCGGCCGGTGACTTTGTAGATAATTCATTTTTAAATAATACTTTCTTAAGACCAAACACATGTACATATATATAAAAGCAACAAATTTTCC